GCTCTCAACGTCAAATGCAGAAATGTTAATTCATGCTTTCATGACCTCAAGGTTAGAGTATTGTAATGCTTTGTTGGGTGGTTGTTCTGCACGCTTAAACTCCAGCTGGTCCAAAATGCAGCAGCTAGAGTTCTTACTAGAACCAGGAAGTATGTCCATATTAACCCGGTTCTGTCAACAGTGCACTGGCTCCCTATTAAACATCATATAGATTTAAAAATCTTGCTTATTACCTATACAGCCCTGAATGGTTTAGCAACTCTGTATTCGAACGAGCTCTTATGGCATTATAGTCCTCCACGTCTACTGCGTTCTCAAAACTCTGGCAATTTGATAATACCTAGAATATCAAGATCAACTGCAGGTGCCAGAACCTTTTTCTATTTAAACACCCAATCTCTGGAATAGCCTACATAACATTGTTCGGGAGGTAGACACACTTTGTCAGTTTAAATCTAGATTAAAGACCCATCTCTTTAACCTGGCTTACACATCACATTTCTAATATTCAAATCCGTTAAAGGATTTTAAGGCTGCATTAGTTAGGACAACCAGAACCAGGAACTATTCCCATAACACCCGTTGTACTTGCTGAATCATAAGAATGGCATCTACACTAATATTGGTCTGATTCATTCTTATGCCAAGGTCACCGTAGCCACCAGATCAGTACGCATCTAGCCCAGATAGTGGATCAGCACCTAAAGATAACCTCGACAGTCCAGAATGTCAGTGGCGATCAGCTCAACTAGATGAGCCCCAGAGACAGATCCCCAGTGAAGACCTTGTCTCCTAGACAGCCACCGGGATAAGAATACAGGAACCAGATGAGTCCTCTGCAGAATGTGATTTTGCTGCAGCTTGGAATTTAATTGCAGGTTTCATCTGGCCCGACTGAGCCTGGTTTCTCCCAAGGCTTTTTTGCCATTCGGTCACTGGAGTTTTGGTTCCATACTGCGGTCGCCTCTGGCTTGCTTAGTTGAGGACATTTAATATCCAGCGGTATCGTCGACTTCATTGCACAGATACTATTTAAACTAAACTGGATGACACTGAATTCAATTAACTGCCTTTAACTGAAAGATTTGATACTACTTTCGTGTTTAATGCTATAAAATTACCTTGACAATCTGTATTGTTAAAACCACTATATAAATAAAGCTGACTTGACACGTCACTCAAGTAAACTCAGTCTCACAGTACTCACGCATGGCAGTATGTTCTCAGCCTAGTCAACAAACACAAAAAAA